ATCCAATATATCTCGAATAAACCGGCCAAATACGGTTTAAAAATGTTTGCGCTTTGCGATGCCGAAACTTATTGTATCAGTGCTTTTAAAGTTTACTGTGGCAAACAGTCTGAGGGGCCTTACTGTAAACCTAACTCTCCATCTGATATAGTAAACAGACTAGTTGCGCATATAAAAGGTACTAATAGAAATCTGACCACCGATAATTGGTACACCAGCTATCCTTTGGCATGTTCACTTTTGAAACAAAAAATTACAACGGTACTCTGGAAAAAATAAATCAGAAATACATCCTGAGTTTTTGCCCCACAAAGATCGTGCAATTGGATCTTCGTGCCATGGTTTTCAAAAAGAGGTGCGTATAGTATCTTACGTTCCGAAAAAGTCAAAATCTGTAGTATTATGATGATGGAAAAATTGACGAAAAAACTGGAAAGACTGAGATAATTCTTGACTACAATAAAACCAAGGGTGGCGTTGATACAGTCGACCAATTATGTGGGGGATATTCTGTTTCACGAAACACCAGAAGGTGGCCCTTAGCATTAGTTTACGCTCTTTTCAATGTTGCTGGAATAAATGCCCAGATTTTATATAACAGTAACCAAAACAACGCAAAGAGGCCAAGAAGAATTTTTCTTAAAAATTTATCATTTCAACTTATGAAATTTCAATTAGAAAAAAGGTCTAAAATGTCGTCGTTACCTTCAGATATTCAGTTATTTTTAACGACTTACAAACCTAAAGAGGAGACACAAAAACATGATGTACCAAGAAAAAATCAGGGACGTCGCGCCATATGTGGAAGACAGAAAAATAAAATTACGTCACAATTGTGTGACAAATGTGATAATTTTGCCTGTCAAGAGCACAGTGAAACTACTATTACCTGTCACCGATGTAAAACCAATTTAGTGGAAACTGATGAAAGTGACTAACTTTTTATGTTTACAGTGTTTGTTTATTTGTTTGCTATGTAAAATATACGTTTAATAAATATTTAAAACAATTTCCTAAAACTTTATTTACTTATAAGCCATTTAAACAGTTCTAGAACTTTAATTTGCTGCTGGTAGAATATTTGCACCACGTGTCCACTCACGTGATAATTATAGGCGCGTCCGCTCGAGGGTTAAAGATAAAACAATATTTGTCAAAGCTTATTTCTTTTATTGTTTAAGTGAGTAATACAATATTTTGCGATTTCAAATATGGAATATTCTTCTTAAATTGTTTAATATTGCAACGCCACTGCATTGTCTACGCGATAAAATATTTCATGGAACTGCCCTCACTGCATTTGAAATCACCTGTAATTACTTCTAAGACAAAGAAAGAACACCCTAGGTAGCGAAAGGCAAGTACAACTACCCATAGACGCCCAACAAATTGAAAAAGTTGAGAAATTTAAATATCTTGGGTACACCATTTCAAGTAATTCGAATTTTGATGAGCAAATTAAAGTTAAAGTAGGTACGGCAGCTTTTGTAAAAGGGCCTTTAAATACTAAACTTCGTGTGGTTAACGTGTTGCCAATATTATTGTATGGTGCAGAGACATGGTGACTAAAAGTAATTAAATGAATAAATACAATTGAAGCATAAGTGGTGTGGATTTTGAGACGACTACTTAAGGTATTGTGTGAAACAATTGTTCAATAATTATTAGAATTTAAAATTGGCCAAATGTTTATAGGTACTTGTATTATTTTTTATGTCAAAATCGGTCAAATGTAAAATTTATCAATTAATTTCAATAGTGTGTGCGTATGCAAATCAAATTATGGTACCTGTGATGTTGAACACATTTTCTACCAGTGCATTGGGTTGGCTGGATCTCTTGTTGGTTGGATAGCGTCTATTTAAACTGGGTGGTAGATTTTACACAAATCTGGAGTGTTTCTCGCGTTGGTTTATCCAAGACTAAACTATGTGTGTGTGTGCGCTGAATAAGCTTCACCTCCCTTAATGAGGGGAGATATCTTCTTCTTCTTCTTAGAGTGCCGTCCCCTACGGAGGTTGGCAATCATAATGGCTATTTTTATTTTAGAACTTGCTGCTCTAAACAAATCAATCGATCTGCAATGATACCAATCAAGTAGATTCCTTAACCATGAGTTCTGCCTTCGGCTAACAAATCTTCTTCCTTGAATCTTTCCCTGTATTATGAGTCTCAAAATTTCATATTTTGGTCCCCTCATCACGTGGCCTAGGTATTCCTGTTTGCTGGTTTGTATACTGGTGATTAGTTCTGTTTCTTTACCAACCATCCCCAGTACTTCTTTATTTGTAATTCTATCAGTCCATAATATTTTCAATTCTCTGCGGTATAACCAGAGATCGAAGGCCTCGATTTTTTTTAAATTACATTTTTTTAATTTCCAAGTCACAGCTCCATATAATAATATTGAAAATATATAACAGCGAATGGTACGTGGTCTGATCTCCAAATTTAGATTTTTGCACGTTAGGAGTTGCTTCATTCGTATAAATGCTGATCTGGCAATCTCTATTCGTCTGTTTATTTCTACAGTATGATCATTGGTTTCATTGATCAAAGTTCCCAAGTACTGATATTTTTCTACTTGTTCCATCACGTTACCATTGATTGTCAATAGGTGATGTATATTTTGTGGTCTTTTTGTAATTAACACGTACTTCGTTTTTTTAGCGTTTATAGTAATTCCCATTTCAGCATTATTCATACTCACGCTTTCGATAAGATGTTGTAGATCCTCTATACTCGTTGCTATGATCACAGTGTTGTCTGCATATTTTAAGTTGTTAATTAATTTTCCGTTAAAGGTGGCTCCCGCTTCGATATTATTGAGCGTGTTTTGGAAAATTTCTTCAGAATATAAGTTAAACAAAAGTGGCGATAAAACACATCCCTGTCTAACTCCTTTACAGATCTTTGCACTAAATTTATGATTTTACTGTCAATGCGCTTGTTCATAAGTAATGATATTAATTTTTCATGTCTTACTTTATCGAAAGCTTTTTCATAGTCAACGAAGCACAAGTGTAGATCAACATGTACATTCCGACATCGCTGAATCAATATGTTGATGGCAAATAGTCCTTCTCGAGTACCCATTCCATTTCGGAACCCGAACTGCGTCTCGCTAATATCCTCCTCTAGCCTTCCGTATATTCTCTTATGTATTATTTTTAGCAGAACTTTTAAAGTGTGACTCATGAGGCTCAGTGTTCGATAATCAGAACACTCTTTTGCTTCTTGTTTTTTAGGGATGGTTATAAATGCTGGCTTCAGCCACTCTTGTGGTATTATTCCCGTATCGTACACTGTGTTGAATAAATCTGCCAATATTCCAAGTTATCCTCTTTCACTAGTTTTAACAGTTGTACTGGTATTTCATCTAATCCAGCTGCCTTATTGTCTTTAAGAGTTTTTGATAGCATATTTGATTTCATATATCGTGATCTTCTGTCTCTCTAAAGGATTTAATTCTTGTATTTTTTGCATTTCATCTCTTTCATCTTGGAAAAGTTCTCTAACGTACAACTCCCACCGTCCTAACTTCTGTGGTAAATCTATTAGTAGTACTCCTTTTTTGTATTTTATGTGTCCTTGCTGTCTATTTCGACCCATTCCAGTCACTTCTCTAATTTTTTTGTGCATATTTCTCATATCATATTTTGTTTCTAGTTCTTCTATCTCTTTACATTGTTTCATCAATAGATTTCCTTAGCTGTTGATTTTTTCCTTAATTATTTGTATTTCTTTATATACTTCTGTAGATCTTTTCCTTTATATTTCCTTTTTCTTCCATCAGTAATGGTATTTCTTCTGTCATCCAGTGTTTTTTAGCCTCTGACCTATGTTGTATCAAACTTTCTTGAGCTGGTTTCAGTAATGTGTTTTTATATTATACCACGTTTTATTTACATCAATAATTTGTTTGTCAGTTAGTGTTTTTTGCATATTAACATTCACATTATTTTTTAATTCGTTTTTTATTTCTTCGTTTTGTAGCATTCTTAAGTTCATTTTTGGTTGTTGTTGAGTTTAATTCTTTTTAATTTTATTTTCACGTCAGCCACTAACGGATTGTGGTCTGAGTTAACATCTGCTCCAGGATAAGTTTTAACTGAGGTTATAGAATTTTTATATCTGCTATTTACGAGTATAAAGTCTATCTGGTTTTTGAGAATGTGGTTTTCTGTATGTGTAAGAGACGTCCATGTTTATAGTCTTTTTTTAGGAAGCTGAAACCAAGTATTGGCAATTACCATATTCTTTTCTAGGCAGAATTCTATGAGCCTTTCTCCTCTCTCGTTTCTAGTTCCTAGTCCGAACTGTCCAATTTTTGCATTAAAGTTTCCTAAAATGTTAAGTAATACCTCTAGATTTTGTTAACTTGATTGTATTGTGCAATTCTGACTAAAACTTTTCGATCGCATCTTCGGTCGTATCAGCTGTGGGAGCATAGACTTGGATCATATTAATATTACAGTTCCGTGCTTGAATTTTTAGCATTATTATTCTTTCTGAGATTTGAATCACACCTAGTACTGATTTTCTAATAGTGTTGCTTGTGGAGATGTCTACTGGACCGTATTAGTTTTCGTACGTAAAACATACACACCTTAATTAAATAATTAAATTATAAAACAAAAATAATAAAAGCATACTTAATACACAAAATATAAATATGTGTGGAAAGACGTAACACTGTGGTTAGAACGAGTAACAGATGAGAAGGTATTTGTGACAAGCTGGAATGGACCGAGCAGTATTAAGTATGTAGAAACAACGGAAGGTTTCTTATTTGGAACAGTTCTTACGTGGATCAATATATTTCGTTACCTGAGTGATATTTTATTACAAATGGTGTCGAGTCGTGATGAACGATCTAATGCATTAACTCCTGTGACTCCTACTCATTCAACATATATTACATTACCATTTCATAGAAAAAAAGGAGTTAAACAAAATCAAAATCCACAATATTTTCCGTATGTATAAGCAAAAATTACCTGCATATGTTCTTTCTGTTGTTTAGTAACTATACTGGTAGTTCTAATAGTGGCAAAATTATTGGTACCATGATCTGAAACAGCTGCAGCAGCTGGATGATTAAGTTGTCGATGTCTTCGCGTCGTACCATCTTCTCCACCTTAAAGTATAATAATAGAATAGCAATGTGCCCATTACTTATAATATATATATATATATATATATATATATATATATATATATATATTATATATATATATATATATATATATATATATATATATGTATATATATATATATATATATATATATATGTATATATATATATATATATATATATATATATATATATATATATATACAAAGTCGAGGACAGTAACGGGCTACTGGTAAACAACAGACAGTTGAAGGTAACCGGGAACGACCCAATACTAAGGAAGCAATAAAAAAAACGGGTGCTTCAAAGTGAGTGTCTTTTATTAAAAGTCAAGCTTTCGCCACATAATGTTGGGCTTCATCAGAACTTGCTGTAATGGAAAAACATTCTTTACAATCATCATAATTAAAGATGTTATTTTTAATATTACCTTAACGTTGACACTATTTCTTAGTGTAAATTATTGTAGATATAAATATATAGATACATATATATATATATATATATATATATATATATATATATATATATATATATATCTATCTATCTATCTATCTATATATATATATATATATATATATATATATATATCTATCTATCTATCTATCTATATATATATATATATATATATATATATATATATATATATATATATATATATATATATTCTGAGTTTAATAGTAATCTGAATATCCATTAAATAATAGTTAATTTATTATAATATTACACTAGGATTTAAGAACAAGATGTTACATTACCTGCTGGTAAACTATTGGTACTACTGGATTGACTACTGGCAGATACTCCAACGGAATGAACGCTTTGTTCAGAGGTAACTGAATTGCTTTTAGAACTATCACCGCCAGTATGTTCATCTGCAGTATCGTCTACATCTACGAATAATTAAATATAATAAAAAATTAAAATCGTTAATTGAAATCAATATATAGATATTGCGTAATAATACAAAGTCTAGCTTGGGTAAGATGGTGAAAACTTCACCCAACCTTACATACTAACATATATCAACAACAATTATTACAACAAATCTAAAATGTTTTTGATCGAAATTTTCGATAATTAATACAAAAAAAAACCAGAGTATTAGTAACGACGAAAAAAATATACTTACTCTTTGAATGTCAAATTAAATACGTAAATATTTTCAGACTTTTAGAAGTGGTGCATCATGACAAAATAACAAAAACCGAAAAATGTGTGTATGTTCGTGTTTTTTTTTCGGTTGGAAATACTTTTATCTATCATTAGGACTAGATGTACTGCCTCACGATACACTCAACTAAAGATAATATGTTGTGCATTTGTGGGCGGGTCCTATTTGGCGCGACTACGTCACGCTAAGAGTTGTTTTACACGTTAGCGTCTGTTTAGCTGTGGACCCACTGTAGACGCACTTTGTCGTTTTTAAAATCGTGAAATTTGTGTTTATTTAAACTTATGTGGATTTTTTTTATTAAAATAAGGTTTTATTGAAATTGAGTTTTGTTCTTGAATAAGAGTTACAAAATCTGCCAGTTTATAGCTCTAGATAAAATTTTTTATTGAGATGTTAAAATTTTAGAAATCACTTTTATTGTAAAATTGAAAGCAGTAGGTAACATGTGTCTCTAGAATTTTGAATTGTGATTTGAAACTACCGAAAATAAACAGTTCTTCAACTTAGATACTTGAATTAAAACCCATATTACAAAAAAAAAACGACGTAATACAGCACCAATTTACAGCTAAAAATAAGATGTATAGTAAAGGCGAAAGCTGTCTTCAATCGCCTCAGGAAGATTTTATGTAATATGCACCTGAACATTGATTTAAGAACACGAGTGTTGGGATGCTATGTATTATCTTCCCTTTTATATGGTGTTGAAGCCTGGACTTTGACGGAAGGAACATGCAAACGATTAGAAGCCTTCGAGATGTGGTGCTACCGTCGCATGCTCTGAATTTCCTATATCCATCATGTTACAAACAACACCGTGATCCAACGTATGAATAAAGATCTGGAAATTATGCGTATCGTGAAAATCAGAAAGATGACATACTTAGGGCATGTGATGTGAAATGAGAAGTATCAACTAATTTTGCAATGCAAGATAGAAGTCAAAAGATCTCAAGGGCGCAGAAGGCATTCATGGTTGAAGAACATCAGACAGTGGGCAGGAATGACTACCATACATCTATTTAGAGCAGCCCAGGACAAAGTTGTATGGACCAACGTGATTGCCAACATCCACAGAGGATAGGCACCAAAAGAAGAAGAAGAAGATTACAAAGAGAACTAAAGTTTACAACTCAATTTTTTTATATGAGAATATTTTTTAATAGGCAGTTTTTTTTAACTCTTGTGATAAAAAAATAGGATCTTAAAAATTCAAATCATTTAATAGTTTAATGAAAGGTTGCTTAACATTTTTCTTTTGTACAATAGCATTAGCATGCCTTTGTTTGACTAAAACTAAAACATATGTTTGAAAATGTTTCGGGAAAGCGTTTGACGCTTTCCCGAAAGTTACCCTCCAAAGAATTGTATTCTTAGCGTCGTTATATATACTCTATATATATATATATATATATATATATATATATATATATATATATATATATATATATATATATATATATATATATATATATATATTGCGGGGAAAGCGTTGTACCTTGGGACAGTTTTACCTTGGGACGATCTTAATTGCTCTGTCATCTATGATCGACAGACCAAACTAACCTGTTAAATTGTTTCACTTAGCCACCAGGGGTTAGTGTAGAGTGATTGGCAACTTTTAAGAGAACTGTGTGTGAGTTACCGAACAAAATACGAAATTTTCATTGGTAAGTAATTTTTAGTTGTTTTATTGTTTGTTTTTTGTAATTTTTACTCTTTAATTTATGAATAAACATAAGACATTATATTATACTCTGAGATGTGCTCTACTAAATGATATAATTATTTATCGTGTACAACTAACCTAAAATATATTTAAAAGACACGTTTTAATTTTCTGCACCGTGTTGTACCTTGGGACTGAATTACGGTTGTACCTTAGGACGTCCCAAGGTACAACACTGATAGATTTTTTTTTCAATTAAATGCTTTGAAAAGCTTAAATTGGTATGTACTGGAGCGTTGTATTTTTTTCTGATGGACCTAATGTATACCAGTAATTTTTGAGTGGCTGGTTTGTTTGTGAATGTTGTTTATTGTAAGTTGTTTATTTTTAAAACGCTTTATAGTTAGCCGAATTTGTTTTGTTTTTTTTTAGAACTATGCCTCGCAGTAAAGACGGCAAGACGCGGGTGATGATCAACCAGCAGTCTTTAGAAAGTGCAGTAAACGATGTTCTGAAGGGATTACTTACGGTTAATGAGGCTGCACGAAGGTATGAGTTAAGCAATTCGACTTTGAGTAGACACTGTCAAAAATACCTTTCATTAAACCATAATGATGAACAGCCTAATTTTATGTATGACAGTGAAAAAAATGCTGTAAAAAAGGTTTTTTCAAACGAACAAGAGCTTATGTTAGTTAGTTATCTTAAAAAATCAGCTGCTCTGCATTACGGCCTTACAAAAAAAGACACACTTAAACTAGCCTTCCAGGATGCGAAAGGCTTGGCAGAGCAGGAAAATAACAAAATCAAAGTTCCAAAAGAATGGATTACCGCAGAATCTGCTGGAGAGTTCTGGTTACGTGGCTTTAGGAAACGCCATCCTACCCTAAGCTTACGTAAACCCGAGCCTACGAGCCTTGCAAGAGCAACAAGCTTTAACAAAGACAACGTGAACAAATTTTTCGATCAATTACAGCTAGTCATAGAAAGACATCAGTTTCAAGCAAACGAGATCTACAATCTTGATAAAACAGGTAATTCAACAGTCCATGTGCCTCCTAAAATTCTATGTACAAAAGGAACAAAACAGGTTGGTTCTGTCACTTCAGGGGAAAGAGGAATTAATATAACGATGATAGCATGTGTCAATGCTATTGGGAACAGCGTTCCACCAATGCTCATTTATCCTCGTGTTAATTTTAAACAACATATGCTCATTGGGGCCCCAAATGGTGCAATTGGTGGTGCAAATCCAAGTGGGTGGTCCAATGAAGTGTTATTTGTTGATTTCTTGAAGCAATTCATCATGCATGTGAAACCTACTCGAGACAAACCTGTCTTGCTTATTTTAGACAACCATGAATCTCACATCTCGATTGAAGCTTTAAATTTAGCGAAGGAAAACGGCGTGGTGATGTTAACCTTCCCACCCCATACCTCACACAAGCTTCAGCCGTTAGACCGAACTGTGTTTGGCCCGTATAAAACATACTACAGCAGTACCATGCGTGGTTGGATGTTATCTAATCCTGGAAAACCTATCCAGATATATGATGTTGCTGGATTAATTGGCAGTGCTTACAACAAAGCATTTACAAAAGAAAATATTGAGAAAGGTTTTCAGGTGACAGGAGTATTTCCATTTGAAAGAAACATTTTTACTGACAACGAGTTTCTTTCATCCTACGTAACTGATCGTGAACTGGTTCAGGAAAATACAAATGGTAGGCCTACAGACATTAAAAAGACTCAACGACGAAGAAATGACGTTGTGTTGGATTCTACCAGTCATTTTGAAGCGAGTGAGACTTTAGCCCAGCCTTCATCATCGTCTATCTGTCACCTACAGATCCCATCAACATCTAAAATCGTGACACCAGAAACGATTCGCCCGTTTTCAAAAGCCCAGATGAGAAAGAAGACCGTAAGAGGAAGAAAACCTGGAAGGTGCAGAATACTGACCGACACGCCAGAAAAAAAGGAGATTGAAGATAACAAAAATAAAAAGAAAAGAAGTTTTGTCACTCCTAAATAACTGTTTTCTGATAGGAAGAAGAACAAAAATAATCCCAAAAAAGAAAAACAAAGACAAAATTATAGAGACCTCCAGTTCTGAGTATGAAGAAATGACTTTTTTGTCTGACGAAGAAGATTGTGATATATCCGTGCAAGAATTAATACAAGGAGTTTTGGAGGAAGAAATGGATATAGCCTTACAGGAGAAGATTGAATGTGAAGAAATAAAACAAGACGATTATGTTTTAGTTAAAATTGATGGCAAGAAGAAAACTGCAAAAGTCGTACAAAAAATAGACATTTTGTATGAAATTCAATATCTTGTTAAAACCGGAAGAAATACTTTTCTCTTAAGAAATGAAACTTTATATGAAATAGACGAGGAGAGACTCAACCACAGGAACCTCGGAGCGTTTGAAGCAATCACTCAAGTTTCCTGTGAATTTCAGTGCATATGACATGCCCATGAACTAATTAGGTAAAAGTAGCCGTTATTTGCTCTAATGTTTTGTATTTTTATAGTCTTTATGTAAAAATTTTTGTTGCTCTAATATTTTGTATTTTTATGAGGATTACCTAAGATTTATTTCCGAAATTGATTTTTTTGTTCACTAATTTTTTTGTTGCTCTAATGCTTTGTATTTTTATGAGCATTACATAAGGTTTATTTGCTTAATTGACTGTTATTGTCCAATAATGTTTTTATAGCTTTAATGTTATTTATTTTTATATGCATTACATAAGATTTATTTGCTTTATTGATTTTTTTACTTTCACTCCTTTACTTAGTCCTAAGGTACAACACCCTGTATCCCAAGGTACAACACTGTGATGTACCTTGGGATACTTAGCAAGGGTGAAGAAAATATTTTTTTACTCCCTTGTTAATTGACATATTTTATATTTTAAAACATTAATAAATTCCCTAAAACATGGACTTTAAGTCAGTATTAATAAAACTATTATAAAGTTTGCCCAAGTAATAATAAAAATCTTTGTTTCAAAACCGTCCCAAGGTACAACGCTTTCCC